ATTTCTTTACCTTTATTATATTTTCATTTTACAATTATTGCTGCTTTACTCATATTAACTTCTTCCTTACTTAATATTATTGCATTTTCCCAACATATCTATAAATAATCCGGATTTCATAAAATAATTTGTTTAAATTGAAATTTACTAGCTTCTTGAATGGCTTGTTGGATTAATAAACATGTTGAATATGGTGAATCACAACGAAATCTGATAATGAACAATTGATTACCCCTAAAATCATGATTCCACATGATAAATCTTTCAAACAATTCTTCTTTCTTATTGTAAGATTCTTTTTTTTTATTTGAAATCATTGCACCAAATTGTCTTTGATCATTTGTATCTGCATAAAATTTCAAATAAAGGTTTGTTTTTTGAAACAGCCAGTCAAATGCAGGTTTAGTGGGTAATATAGCCATACTTTTTTATTCAAATTTTTTAAATCCTTTTTAATAAATTCACTAATAATAGTTTCTAAGTTAGATTGATTAATTGCAACGATCAGTTCAGAATGTTTTAAAGACGTAGAGAATCTATCATCGACTTTAAATTTGATCTCTTTATGAGGAAAAATTCTCCAACCTAATCTAGAGTAAAAATCAGAACCAACTTCAGAGTACAAGTATGAAAATTTGGCCTTGCATTCGAATCTCATGATTCAACAACTTCATCAACTTTGTAGCATAACCTTTGTGCTAATACTGAGCAGGAGTGAATAATGAAGTGATGTAATAACCGATTACTTCTTGAATTTGTCCAGATGATAATGTTATCAATGCTTTAAGTTTGTATGTTTCGCATTGTGAAAAGATTGTCAGTTCAGTATCTTTTGATAAAATGCATTTTTTTGAAACTAGAATCCAGACTTTAAAACTTTCTAAAGTAAATTCATTATTGGCAAGTATCTCTTCACGTTCTATGTATTCATCTATTGTCAACTGTGGATAACCCCAGTTCATATATGAATTGCGATTAGTTCTAATGAATTATGAAAAGATTTTAAATAACGATAACATAAGATTTTAAATTACGATAACATTTATAACAGTAGTAATTGTCATTACATTCTAGCTTGTTCCGAAGTCGCCTTTTCAAGTACCAAATTTTGATATTCAAGTTCGGAAGACATTTATTTAGAATAAACTCGTACTATTGTATGTTAAAATTGAATTTATGGAATCGTATTGGTAACTTAAGGTTTAATTTTGTGTTACGCTTACTAAACTATTTAAGTCGAAATAATTAAATTCAATTGTATAAAAATTTAAGCACCAAATTCGTACGTTATTTTTTTCGAAATTTCTTAAATCAAATTAAAATGATGCACAAGATTTGGCTTGCCTGATTAAACTAACAATGTTAATTTAAAACAATACTGCAATATATTTAGTTAGTAAATATTATTGAAAGTCGATTAATATTTTAATATGATCTATTTTTTATATAAAAATTAAGTTAACCGGTTTTATAACAATGTATGCTTGCGAATCGACACCATCTAGAATTCCAATTATCTTAAAATCATTAGTCGTTGATGACAACTTAATAACTAGTGAAATTCTATCAAAAATTCTTACCAAAAAATTCAAGCATCAAGTAATATGTATATCGAGTAGCAGTGAAGCTTTGAATCTTTTATCTCAAGATATTTATGACTTTATATTTATGGATATTGACATGCCTATATTATCTGGTATTGAAATGAGTATCAAGATAAGGAATTCCACCACCGTTATGGAAAAAAATAGAGAAATCCCGATATTTGCTTATACAACTAAAGAATGGGAAAAAGAGTTTTCGAATGCTAGCATGGTAAATGTTAGTTCCTGTCATTTATATATAATATCAACGTTTAACGTATTAATTAATTTTATTTAATTAGAATGGATATATCCAGAAACCGACAAGTTATGATAAAGTTCAAACTGTGATTGGAAAATTTAGGAAAAATATTAATTCAATTTCGGATTTTAATCCAAGGTTTGAGTTTTCTGATTTGCCTGCTTTTGTGTAATTAGCATTTATATTAATATAGGTTCTCATTGATCAAAGTTTATGAATAAAATATTTATTTTTATTTTATATATTGCTGTTACTCGAGCTGTATTCATATGTTTCTGTTTGTATAAATAATTTAAACTTTAACTAACTTAATAATTTTTGTATTTAAAGTACAGTTAAACCTCTTTATAGTCACCTCCTATATAAGCACATTTTCTTTATAAGCTTATTTTTTAAAAACCATCTATTATTAATATAATAAATTTGACCTCTATAATTAGCACACTTCTCTATAATCACGCTTTTTTGTATCCTGTGGGTTGACTATAGAGAGGTTTGACTGTATATCTATATATCTATATAATAAATTTGTGAAGAACGAACTGATAATAAATATAATATACTTATTCATTGTTCTGTATTACAATTGTTTTGTGAAAACTTTCATTTTTGCAATTTTAAAACCACATTGAGCATTTATAAACTTATTTATTATGAACTTTTGATTGCAAAAAATGCAACAATTTCTCCTCCATTGACTGATTTGGTCATAATTACAATTATAATGATCATATTTAAGACGGCTTTTAAAATTCATTTTGTTCATTAGCAATAATAAATTTATCGTCTAAAAAAACAAAATTCTTTATTAAAAGATGAATGCAATTTATGTTTCTACTATACTAAATCTAATAGTGAATTATAAAATTATGAATCTAATAATTATATTACTTAAAAATGCTCAATCTAATATATTACAAATTTAAATTTAGTTCTCAAATCGATCATATAAATTTTCATAGTAAATGAAAAAAAAAAAATGAGAAAAAGGCTTCTGGCACCTGCGCATGAATTTATAAACTTCAAAAACTGAGAATAACTTGAAATGAATAATATTGTACTTGGCATATTTGATGTATAAATTAACAAAAGTTTTGTTATTCTACATATTGGCTCTAATTTCCGAGTTCCGATTTCCAATAAATTTTTCGATTCTGTGACGACGTATAAAAATAATATTTAACCGAAAAAAAACAAACAAAAAGATCTAATCACCAATATTCAGGTTTGGATGCTCTAATTTGCATATTTAAATCATTGTCTTATGTATTATCAAAATTTAGCATAAAAACGTAATTTTGAGATTGGAAAGAATCTCATTGAATTATATCTTAAAATAGAAAAATTTTGAAGGAAGTAGATGATTTTTATTAGGTTTATTTTTTAGTATAAAAACATAATTTTGAGATTGGAAAGAATCTCGTTGAATTATAGAAAATTTTTGAAGGAATTGATGATTTTTAAGGGTTTTTATTTTTAACAATAAGTGATTAAACTAATTTAATTTGCATATATTTAAATAATTGTCTTATAATCAAAATTTAGCATAAAAACATAATTTTGAGATTTGAAAGAATCTCGTTGAACTATATAAAACTTTGAAGGAATTAGATGATGATTTTTGTGGGTTTTTATATTAACTATGTGATCCAAAATAGTTATAAAAACCTAAATAAACATTTGCGGATCGCTTAAGGTTAAATTTTGTATGACGTTTACTAAATAATTTTGAACCAATAATGATGATTGTAAAAACTTCTTAAATTGTATAAAACAATGCTTGCCTGATTAAGCTGACAATTGACAAACCAAAAGAATATATTTTTAATTTTCGATTGATTGTAATCTCGAAAAGTATATCAATCGTGATTTATAAAAACCAGCTACTGGTCGTAATACAATATAGCAGTAATAAATCAAATTAACGAATTCTAATTCTTTTTTGTTTAAGGATTCCATTGCTAATTTAATGAGTTCATGAATTTTACGAAGTTCACATTCTTGAGGTTTTCCTATTGTTAGCTTTAAATGATGTTTCGAGCAACCTATATTCATTGTTAGTTTATTTACAAACTAGCGAACGCTCCCTTTAATTATGACTATTTCTAATTAATACCTTCTCATGTAATAATATTAAAAAATTATTATGACAACAAAGTATGCTCTTCGCGAATGAACCCCATCTAAAATCCCAATTATCATTAGTCATTGAAAATAACTTAATAACTGGTAAAATTCTATCAAAGATTCTTACCAAAAATTCAAGCAAAGCTTTGAATCTTTATTTCAAGAAATTTATGACTTTATATTTACGGATATTGACATGCCGGAATTATTCTGTATTATTTAATTATATTGCAACTTAAATGATTGCTTTATTTGTTCATTAAAAAATTTTAAAAACATAATTCTGAAAGACATAATAGAAAAAAAGACAAAGATACTTAAACAATATTTCGCTCCCTGTTTTTGTTTGGAATACAGTAAGTACAGCAGTGCAGTGCGTATATTTTATTGCAAACATAGCTTGAATAGTTTAATTTTTGTTGCTATAATTCTTATTTGCTTTTTTTCATTTTTTTAATTAAGTCAATTATTTTCAATCTCGTTTAAAATAAAAAACATTTTAAATTTTAATTGGCAAAATGTTGTAATTTTTTCAATTCAGTAATAGAATAATTAAATTTATTTATTTATTTATTTATTATTTTGCCTATTGTATTATGTTTGTATTGTATTTCTCCGTATAACCAAATACAATACTAAAAAAAATAAATAAAAAAATAATGACTTATTTATTACTATTTTCTGGAGTCAATTGACATAAATCATTAGACGTGCAGATTTATGAAAGCAATTGTTGCAATGAGAGTAGTTTAAAAATATAAATAACCTTAGATTAATACTAAATTTTTCATGATAAAGAATCACTTGCAAATTTAAATAAATTATTAGAAAAAGAAGAGTCATTTATTTTCTCCGCAATATTCATATGGTTCCTCGCGATTTTACCTCCAACACATCTTTTTCCTGCTGCAACATTTATCACGTACTTCTTTTATTTCATTTCCAGAAATGACAGTTAAAATAGTTTTTATAAATAATAACTGATGAGGTTTTTTTTTGTCAAGATCTTTGTTTCTTTTCGATATAAACTGATTTTAGAACACAAGAAAAAGCAATAAGAAGAACAAAAAAAGTTGAAGAGATAAAAGAAAAAGCTAAACAAGATTCCTCAAAAATTCCGTGTGTAGTATAGAAGTCTTAAGGGTGTGTAGAATTAACGACTACTAGAGTACACCCAGAATTTTTGAGGAACCTTGTTTAGCTTTTTCTTTTATTTCTTCAACTTTTTTTGTTCTTCTTGTTGCTTTTTCTTGTGTTCTAAAATCAGTTTATATCGAAAAGAAACACAGATCGTCGGTTATAAAATATATAAAGAAGTTAATTATTAATCTTTTAAAAACTACTTATCTAATATAAGAATTCGTGGAAAAATTATCTCTTGATGAAGAATTACTTGCAAATTTAAATAAATTATTAGAAAAAGAAGATCTTTTATTTTCTCCGCAATATTCACATGGTTTATCATGACAACGCATCTTTTTTCTGCCGCGACAGTTATCACATAATTTTCTTATTTCATTTCCAGAGATGACAATTAAAATAGTTTTAAAAAATAATATAGAAATGATCAAAACAATTAAGAGATGTGAGCCCTAATGGTCGCAGTTAAAAGATAAATATGAATTTGAATAAGATTATAAATAATTTTTTTCGTGTTACTAATTTTCTTATGACTGTATAATTATAAGTTTACCACGCTTTTAGTTGAAGAAAAGACAAGCGAATAAACGAACAGGTGAAAGCTGTATTACTTAAATCATTTAAAATGTTACTGATGAAAAATTACAAAACACTAAAGTAAAGAGGAATTCAAATATAGTATTGCCATTTACTTTGCTATTTAAATGGGAATTATAAGTATCTTACACTTTAATCCAGCATCAGGATGGCGAGCATTAAACCGAAATTCATCCATCCTATAAATCGCTCAGATTTCATATTAAAAATACTTTCTTATTAGAAATTATGATAAGAGTAGTGCTCCACTTCGCCAATCTATCACTTTCTCTTCTTCTATAGCATATTTATATATTTAAGGATTGTTATTTTGGCCAGAAGTAAGAAATTAACGAGTGGCTAGATTTAAATATGATTTTATCTTTTTTAGTTGGCTTTTTGTCAGACCCCATTTCCTAATTTATAAATCTTTTAAAGCATTTTCAAATTTTTTTAAATAATTATTTTCAGAAATTGGATATTCATTATTGTATTGCTATTTCAATTGCTTGATTATATCCTCTTTCAGCTGCTAGCTTTAACAATGATAAAGATATGTCTCCTGCTAACATTTTCTCAGATCCATTTCTTTTTATAGAATAGTAGACTATCCAATAGGATATTCTTTTCGCAGAAATCAATTGCTTTCTCATCTCCTTTGTTTAAACAAGTTTATTGCTTTGTCATCTTTGCCACCACTAATTTCACTTTCCAATAGTTCTCAAGAAATAATTTGTTTTTCTTTTCGATTTTAGAGTCTCTGTCTAAATACACTCTTTGTTTATATCAGTAGGAAAAGTCGTAATATTTAACCAAATTAATTTTTGGATTATTTTGTAATCTTCCGAAGACTCCATTTTGACTTCTGTCAATCAAGGAGTAAAGTCATCTTACATTTATTGAATTTAATTAGTTTCTTGAGCGTGTTAATTCTTATTTAATTTAATATAAATACAAAATTATTGTCACAGATCATAATTTAAAATGAAATCTACATTCTATATTAACCTGCTAGCCTTCTAAAACCCATTAATATTTGTTTATTATAATTTTTTTTTAAAACTAACCCTAACCCTAAACTCCTAACCCTAAAAAATGCACCCCAAAAAAATTTAGTTTTTGAGATTTTATACTATCATTTTATTTATTTATTATGATCTGTCACAATAATTATTTACTATACATAAGATTTAAATGTATTGAAAAAAATTGATTAATGCAATAAATTCAATTTACTTTCACATAAAAAAAACAAAGTTTCGATATTCCATAGGATTTAGTTTTTAATATGTTAAAAATTCACATTAAAAAAAAATTGAGTTTTTATAAATTATAAGTATCACCTTCACTACTTCAAGACCTGATTATCTGCAACTAGTTTAAATACATAAGGAAGCTTTGTGATCTCTATTTTATGAAATTCTACTCTTTTTCAATTGGTATTAAAAAATCAACTGGTCATTCAATATCCATTGTTTCTTCAAGTTTTAAAGTTTTATCTTGTAAAGATTTTGGGTTGACAGAAGAGAAAACTTGCAAGAGAAAAAAAACTTATAAAACTTTTTATATCTTTAAAAATAGAGCGAAATTTGTTCATTTCAGAATTGTCACTTTGTGCAGCAAACTATTGATTCCTACAGTAACAACTTGTACATCTTCTATTAAACAATAATGATAACTCGCAATGAGTACAATAATCATGGACATGATGATCCTCTGAAAGCTTTCTGCACGTAGCGCAGTAATTACCCGCTATATTCCATCGACCTTTAATAATACGATTATCTCCGCTGTTACAATTAATATAATGACATTTTACCCACTTGTGACCCTTCTTATTGCAATAATAACATTTTATACTTTGGTATGCTAAAAGAGACCAAATAGTTTTAGCAAAGTATATTTTGAACAGAATACATACCAATTCACTTACTTTTATTATATCTTTTTGGCCGCATTTTGCAAAGAAAATTGTAAGAGTGAGTTTCTTCGCTACTTGAAACAAACTATATTTAAAAACCTTGTTTTCTTTTTTTTTTAAATAAACATAGTGAAATCAATTATTAATCGATTGAATTAATTAGTGAATTATTCGACAAATTGTAGCTCAAATAAAAAATTTGAACCAAAACGTATTTAATAAATAAACTAACAGAGAATAATTACATTGCATTGAAAGTTTAATTCACATGACTTAATCTCAGTTTTAATGTAGACATATAAATAAATTCAATTCAATTGACAATTGAATAAAATGTTAGTTTTGAATTGTTTAAATGTCAAATAAAAAACAAGAGTGAAATCATATGTATAATATGGTGGGGTTAATTCTTATTTCCTTCAAAGTTTTACTATTTGTGCAAAATAAAACCAAGTAAATTGTATTGTTAGACAAATAATTAATGTTGATGTTAATTTACTTTTTCTATTTTATTCATATTTTCGTTCAATTGATTGAAAAATCCTCAAAAGAGTTAATAATAATTTTATTTAAATCAAGAAATATTGTATTGTTAAAATTAAAATTCTCTTAATAAACTTGCATTTTAAAAAATGAAAGCTAAAATTAAATTTAATTGAACAGCTTTAATTAATAAACTCAATTTAATTAAAAAGAAAATAAATTAATTGAAAATTCTTTAAGTACTAAAAAATTAATTTTTCTTTAACATATGGACTTTACAAGAGTAAAATGGCTTGGCATTTTGATATAACTTACTAAAAATGGGAGAGACTTTGAAGTTTCAGGGATTAAACAAAATTGAAGGAGGAAAAGATTTCGTAAATAAACAATTTTCTGAAGTTCTTAAAAATCTTAAAGTAATCGATTCAAATTATGCAACAGAACCTATTGAGACATCTTTTAACTGGAATGAAATAGCCAGTGGCATAAAGGATATTGAAGGAGAGTGGTATCTTGTTGCTTTTCGATCTATCGGAAGTGTAAACGCAAATAATAATTCTTTGTCATATGCTGAAAAAAAAGCCTATAATAAAGCAGAAAAACATGGAGGGTTGCTCAAGGTAAAAAATAAAAATTCATAAATTAAAATAATTTTAGTTTATCACCATTTATATTTCTATAATTTTAAAAGTATTGGTCCGGTGAATTCAATCAAAATCGAGAATGTCTTTCGATGTGCATTTGGGCAAGTAAAGATATTGCAGTTAATGCAAGTAAAAAATCTCAGCATACTGCAGCAAAAAGGTTGGCTAATATCTCGAATTATGAATTCTATGACTTAGAGAGGTACGTGTTAAATAAGAAAAAGAACGAGACAGAGATAAAAATAATTCAAATAAGCGAGGATACATCTATTTAACAAATATAAAACTAAAAAGGCTTATTAAATATATTTTTCCATAATCCTATCTATTTATTGATAAATATATTTCATTTATTTAAGTGTTAAGTGAAAATTTTTTTTCAATGTTTTCATCTTCCAAAAATAATAAATTGCGAAGTTAATCAAATTCAAAATTGTTAATGGAGTTTCTGTGAAATTCAATTTTCTGTAATTTACATAAAATTACGTATAATGTAAAATTGTAATTTATGTAACACAACCCTAGTTACTGATAAGTTACTTTTATTTATTTTAAGTTACTGTAAGTTACTGTGAAGGTAATCTATGGTGCGAACAGCTTAGTCACATCAAATATTTTATTATAAACTTAAAATTGCAAAAACTTGTTACCGGTATCTAAATTTTAATTACAAAAAAAACTATATATATTTGGTAGCTTTTAATGAGATCTATTAAATATGTATTTAGTTTTAAGCGTTTTAAACTTTATTAGAAAAAATTTACTTTTTAAAAAATGCAACTTCAAAATTTCAGCACTAATATAAAAAAAATTAAAAAACATAAAAAATTTATATAAAAATTTGATGTAACCAGGCCATTCACACCATATGATTTATTCCGTTAAGTAATGTGATATATTAAGATACTTAAGTGCTAATATAAAGACAATTTTTAACTTATTCTTTCCGTGCCGTGTTATAAATCATAAATTACAATGTAATCTCATGTGACGTAAAAATGTAACTTTGAAGTTACGAATTAATTCTGCAAATTATGTTTATCAGAGTTACGAATTAATTCTATCACAATTATGTTTACCAGAGTTACGAATTAATTCTACCAAAATTATGCTTACCAAAATATTACCAATTAATTCTACCAAATTTACAAAATTATGTTTACTAGAGTTACGTGGCCAACAAAATTTTAGTGGAGTTAGACCAGCATTAAGTAATACAATTAAATAGTAATTTAAACTTTGAACGAAGATATAATCTAGCAAAAATCATTTTAAGGGTATGCGACTATTTCCAAGATTTTGGAATTCAAAAATGTCCTTGAACGTTAAATTCCAAAATCTTGGAAAATAGTCGCATACAATTAAAATAATGTTTGCTAGGTTTTCTTTGATTATATCTTCGCTCAAAGTTTAAATTACTATTTAATTTTTAATTAGGACAAATCATAAAGTGTGATCATGTGATTTAACTGCGGCACAAATTTAGCGTTAGTCATTACTGGTATTGATAAATCAAATAAAAAAAATTCTTTCCAAAATACTTGACTCTTAGGAGATATATGCATTTGAAAATTTTTTTTTAGGTGATGCAAACATATGACGGCCAGTGTAGTTCGACATTAAGAAATAATATATTCTTAATTACTAATTCTAGTTATTAGGAGATTCAAGGTTGTTAGATCAGTAGACTTCGCGATGAAAACCAACGTCTTAATAAGGATCTCGAAATCGTCAGAAGGTTTGGTGAGAATATGATTGCTAATCAAAATGCACAAATAAGAAATTTACAGGATCGTTCATGCGCAAATATGAAATTTACAGGATCGAATAGAAATAATAGTGCGAAACTAAGGGAAATAGGTAAAATATTCTTTACCAATTTGATAATATTCTTAATTACTTACGCTTCTTATTAAGAATGAGTACAATACCGATGTTAACAAGACAAGATGCTTTCCGTCACGAAGATGATGATATGGATATTAATTAACAGAATGTTTGCGTTAATCTCATTTTTGGTTTTTAATAAAATTGTGAAATCATTGTCATATATCTCTCAGAATTTTCAGACATTTAAGGATATCATACGAGACAATTTTTGAACGGCCTTACCGAGTACATTCTTCATTAATACTATTATGAACGGCCTCACCGAGACACAGTCTCCATTAATTAAAAATAGGCCGGTTATATAATTATTTGTCGAAATAACCTAATAAATTTGAAAAGAAATGAAAAGCCATTCTTATATTCAAATAAAATTAAATCAACAAATTAAGCATAAGCGAAAGAGTAAAAAGCCATATATAATATATAAATTCATATTGGTGATCAGTATTTTTTATACTTTTTTGTTAACATTGTTTTTGGAAACTTCAGGTCAATTTTTATCAGGTGTTCCAGGAATAAATGTGGGTCCGGATCCGGTCCGCCAACCGGACCCGGATCTTTTGCGGAACACTACCGATACTGTACAAATTGTATCACTATTTTCACAGGATTGATTTCTTTATAAGGAAAGTCATTTTTCAAAAAACGTGTTTTATAACGTTGTCTTTCAACATCTCATTTGTTTTTCAGTTTTTGATTTTGAAAATGAAAGGTAAAAATCGCTCGAGTGTTAATAAACATCAAGTTAATAGAACAAACCAGGTATAATATCATAATATTATATTAAGTATTGCATGACGAGTGTACTTTTGAATATAAGTTACGCTGAAGGTTGAGTGAGCTTTAGGTCTGTTAGTATCGTTAAGATATCCGCTAA